CCCGAAGCTAACCGAACCATAAAAATTCCAATCTGAGATCATGTACAAACAATTCAAATATTGGTCAAACCTTTCAAATTTTTAAGCTTTCAACCGAGACTGTTCTTCCAAATTAAATTCTGATTAACCTGAAACCCAACACCAATGATTTATATAAGTCATCTTGTATCACACGGGGCAAGTCATGCACGAGAACTGGTGAGAGAAATACAAAAGCTCAAAACGACCGGCCGGGTCGTTACAAAGGATGGAGAAAATGGAATTTGGACAGAAACTTTAGTCCAATTTTAGATTCTGATCCATTACACAAATTGTGGTGTTGGAATTGATTTTTGGAATCAGCCAAAACGGAAGGAAAACATATGGATAAAGATGGTAGAGTTTGCGGTTTGGCGTCAGTGTTCAGTCGAACGCCGAGGTTGATTCTGGTGTCGATTCGAGGTTTCGGTTTGTAATTTCGGTGTTTCAGCCCAAGGATTGTTGCTTTGTTTAGCCCGATTGATTTGTAATTTTTAGCTTGGTTCATCAATAAAGGTCCATTTCTCAATTTTCATTCTCATTTTATTGTGTTATGATAGCTTGATGCGTGTGTTGGTTGATTTATGATTCTACGTTATTTTAATAGCATGTCTTAGTTTTCATTTAAATTATTTTAATTAGTTTTTATTTCAATTGTGATGCATGTAGTCTTGATTTCTTGAATAAATGCTTTTAATCAGGTAGATGGAAAAATTGGAGTTGTTTCTTTCTTGGCAAAGAATAAGAATTGGCCATATTGTGGGTTTTGAACGATAAGGAATTTGGGCCAAGTAATAGATCATATTAGCTAGCTTGTTTGCCTCAATAATATCGTGTTCATAAATTTGGACTTACAACAATATCAAACTAGTTTTGGGAAATATTCATAAACATTCGTAGTATTGCTTTAGACGCGTAAATTAACTATCATGATTATGGGTACGGTTCCCGTGGCATAGTCATGGTACATAATCCCCAACTCGGGTGTACATTTCATGCTACCCGATCGTAGCAACTTTGAACATTAATAAAAATAAACATGTCATGAACCGTGGGTGCATTTTATGTAGCGTGGTTTGCGGTGTGCTCCAAAACGGCAAGTGTACGACAATCGTAACTTGTTCAAGAAATAAATCCATTAAATCCTAAAAGCAATCCAAATAAATAAAAGCGGTTATACAGTTAAAAATCTCAATAGATTTAAAACATGTAATTAAATCAGATAATTAGGCCAATTATTAATAGTTTAAGCGATCGTGCTAGAACCACGGAACCCGAAAATACCTAACACCTTCTCCCGGGTTAACAGAATTCCTTACTTAGAATTTCTGGTTTTGCAGACTTTTAAATAAAGTTGATTTTCCTCGATTTGGGATTTAAAATAAACCGGTGACTTGGGACACCAAATAAATTATCCCAAATGGCAACTCTAATAAAATTAAGTAAAATAATCCTATTTCGATTTATATCACTTTAGTTGGAAAAACTCCCTTATATACCCCTCTCGGGTGTAAAAAGGAGGTGTGACAAGGGGCTACATGTGACGTTAGCGCGTAGTCATTATATTCTTACTACCCAATTTCCCCTTTGGTCATAGCCTAAAGTATTCTAATAACCTTAAAAATGTCCTATGCGTATACTACTCGTCCCTTCCTCATGGCCCTGGAGGTATTTTAGGATCTCTACTTTTGGACAGTTCTAGACCTTCCTAAGGTTTTAAAGGATAAAAGTCTAGGCGTCAATCAAGAACAGTTAGGACTGCATTTAAAGGGAACAAGTTATAGTCCCGCAGTTACCTCCACAAATATAACAAGTAAATGCACATCTTCAAACAACAGTCAAGTATTTAAGAGAAGATCCTAGAACATGATATCTAGGTGAGCAAGGATTATACAGTAATGAATTAGGACAAAGTGTCAAAATCCTATTTAGCTTGCCTACTGACTTAAACCTGTTAAAACTGGACAGTTTTAAATAACCAAAGCAAAGTTTCAGAGTTGCAGAATTTAGATCGCCCTATAGGCTTGCTTAAACGCAAAACAGTGATGTCTTAAGAGTATGATATCTACATTAATGCAGTAAGACAACGAACAGTTTTAAACGGATACTTGAGATCCTATAGACATGTTTTCTAGCAATAGTAAATTAAGGCAGTGTTTGAAAACTCATTAGAGAAGCGGACAGTTGTTTAAACCAGTTCAAAGGAACTAACATGGATTAAACTAATTTGTTTAATTAAATTGATTTTAAGTTCTATAGGCAGGATTTCTTATTTTAATTCCTATAGGCATGGTATCTAATTGTTAAGAGCTGATTTTAGAACTTATAGGCATGATTTCTAGTGAAATAAATGTAAATACCTGGTGTAACAGAAACTAAACTTAATCACTTTACACTCTATAGGCATGATATCTTGTTATAAAGCCATTTAGATCATATAGGCACGATTTCTAATTATAAATCCATTTTGATCCTATAGACATGATTTCTAATATTGTGAAAGTAAAGCAAACATAACAAGTGCATTAACACAATCCTATAGGCATGATATCTACCCGAATTACCCAACAGATATAACTACCCACCCCTTTTTCACTAATCTCCAATGTTGTTTACAAATAATTATTACAGACCAGCTGATATAAACAAATAAAGAAGAAAAAGAAGAGGTTAACTATAAGGAGCCTGAAACAGGCCCAAATGACTTCACAAGCCTCCAATAGCCTCAAATGCCAAAGTTCCATAGACAATATCATATCTAGATGTGTCAAAGTTCCCTAAGGACCTCAAGGATCCCGGGCAATGCTCACACCTAGACCTTTTCTCAACAATAACAGATTTAAGTGCAGCGTGGAAGGGCCAACTCTGACATGCCAGAGTTCAGAGAGATCTCAAGGATCTCAAGGTAGTACACATGCTAGAGGGGCAGAATCTAATACTCTAAGAGTAATGTGGGAGTGCATAATGACTTTGAAAGAGTTTGGTAGACATAGAAAGAAGGTCTTAGTAGCAGAAAGAACTTTTATGAAAGTTAGAACAAAGTTAAGAGTAGGAATAGTTTAAGAAGACATTTAAAATAGTCTGAAAGCAGGTTAGAGAACAAACAACTTCAGAACAGATCTCACAGAAGGGAAAGAGGTAGGGGGAATACCTAGCATACACCTTAGTGATGGCAATCAAATACATAGATGGTAGTTACAAAGTTAAGTTGAGAACACATAGGTATAAGACAAATAGAATTACATTAGAACAAACTGTACCAGACAAACATTTCATGAAAACATTCAAAATTTTAGAACAACCAGGGTTTGGTCATGCTAAACAGTATGAAACCATAAGCTTAAAACATGCTTTGTGATGCAGTAATCTAGGCATGCTGATTGCATACTAAGTAGAACTTATAAAACCGAAAATCAAGATTGATAAACTGCAGGAACAAAGTAAACACATATCTTGGAATATGAATTGAATTAGAACATACCAGTTAAGGAGAGTATGCAGAATACATAGTAAAGATAATGCCAGTAGTCAGCCTTAGCTTACATCCGACTGAACTAATAGGAATTGCAAGGAACAAAAGAGAGTAAAGAGTTTTTTTGAGAGTATAATAGTGTAGATGAACTAGAGTTCCTTTTGTTATTGTTGTTTTCCAGAACTTAAAAGAAGAAGAGGTTTATATAGGAATCAAAACTCAACGAACAAGGTAATAAATCAATTAAGTAGTAAATCAGGGAAACCACACGTAAATCAGCAAGATTTTCCCTTAATCAAGGGACATCTCAACCAACGGTAGAACATACTCAGTATTTAAAGAAAAGAATAAAGTAAAGCATATGTATAGAATATGCAATTAAGGGTAAATGCACAACAATTTAATTAAGGAAATAAATCAATAACAATCGGCGGAATGCAAACAAGGCAAGGAAAAACAATTAAGGCAGGTAAATTCAATCAAATTGAGTAAATAAGTAATGATCAAATTTTAGACGGAAATGGGTCAAATTAAACCAGAAAACAAGGGATTCAGAGTAATCAAGGGTTCATAAAGTCATGAAAGAAGCAGCATGCTTAACATATAAAATGAGGTAGAGCATGAATAGTCAGGATTTCACACAACTTTAACAAAACCCATGTTTAAACGATACTGAATTAAAGAGAAGCGTACAAATTTTGCATGAATGGTTAGTATGAACACAAGTTCATAATATCAGTGAAAGGTTGAACTAAGAAAATTTAGTAGAAGCATACTAGGACAAGTAAATCATGAGAAGTCACAAGAATCCAAGGCAAGAACACAGTCAGAGGTACCAATATCCAGAAACCAAATGAAAAACCCCAAAACATTAGAGTTTTCAGTACAAACGGGCTAGGGTTGCAGCAGGTTCATAAAATTAGTCAAAATGTGTTAGAATCAGAAGTTTAAACATAAAGAATCATTAAATAAAGTTTAAAAAGAAATTTCGGAAACCCTAATTTTAGAAAAAGATGAAAAATCACTTGAAATCATACGATTCTTGCAAAGAAACTCAAGGCTATTGTAAAACACACAAGAAACAAACTCAAATCGTCTTAGATCTGTACAGATCTAGGAGTTTTAGAAACGAAATTAGGGTTTCGAAGAGAGCCATACAGAGATGAAGAAACCTGTTTAGAAAACCATAGATCTTGGCTAATATAGGACGATTTCACTCGAAATCACACTGGAATGGCCAGGAACAGGTGAGAGATGAACCCTAGATGCAAGTCGACATAACCCTGGTCCCTCGAGGGCCTTAGAGATGGCAAGAGTGACATGAGAGAAACCATTGGAGGCTTGAGAGATGGTGAGAGGTCACCGGAGATGGCCATAGATGGGGGTCGACATTTGGAGATTAAGGTTTAGGTTGAGAGTGTTTGAGAGCAGAGATGCTTTTAGGGCGGCAGTGTAAATGAAAATGATAGGGTTTCGGGGGAGGGTCTTTGGTTTAATTTAGGAAGGGGAAATGGTGGCCGTTGATCTTTGTGATCAACGATCGAGATTAAAGGGTGTGGGGACAGGATCAGGTATTTGGGGTGTGGACCGGGTATTTTAATTAGAAATTGGGCTGGGTATTGGGATTGGATTGGGTTGAATTAGGGACTAAAATTGAAAATATAATTAGACCATATTTTAAATAGCCATTTTAACATTAATAATTTATAAGAAATGATAAATGATTTCTGAAAAAAATAATTTCGTGTACTAAAATGGTTTAAAATAATTATTTAATATTTTAAATATATAAAAGACTGTTTTATGTATTAATAACGTAATTATGCATTAATATGACTAGTATTGCAAATATATCCTAATGAACTTAAAAGAATATAAATGCAATTATAAAAAATGTATTAAAATATTTAAATAATATTTTGGCATAAATATAAAATTTAGATGACTAAATCACCACCAAAAATAATTTGAAAGACAATTATTGGAAATTTTATGAGTAAAAACGGAAGAAATAAATCAATTTGAAGCTTTTAAAATTATAGAAAAAATTATAAAAATACTTATGCATGCTTATATATGCATATATGCTATATATAGGGAAAAATTGGGTATCAACAAGTCAATGCCCAATCCGGATGGGGGGGGGGGGGCNCATTATGAAAAACGTTTGAGAATTTAACAACAAGAAATATTTATTACGAAGTTGGACTATTTCTGAATGATTTTTCTCAAAACCCTTAACGCCTTTAAATAAGGCAATGCCCAATCCGAAAAGGGGGGGGGGGGTCAAATTTTTGGAAGTAAAACACAATTTAAAAGGGCGTTTTATAGATTTGAATTATTGGTATGTCAATTAAGCACACAAGAGTTATTGGTGGGCCCACAAAATATATAAAACGGGGTTAATTATATCGTTTTACATAAAATGCAGTAATAAACCGCGTTTTACATAATTGTCTTATCACCTAAAGGTAAAATGATGTATCAAAAAGTGTTTTATATAACACGCGGTTAATAACCATGTTTTATATAGAGTTGTAATTTTTTTTTAAACCTAAAAAAATGTTTTGAGTCCAAAAAGACAACATTTCGGTTCCGGACTCCCACGTACCTTCCATTCTTCCCAATATCTCAAATTATACTTAATTTATTGTTGTTATTGTTATTGTTGTAATGAATACATAAAATCTCTATAAATGTCCTTCTCCACTTCAAATATAACAAGTCATTAGAAATTATTTTCAAAAGTATACAACATTTTTTATAGCCATTTGATTTTTTGGGTTAAACAAAAGATATAAGATAAATAATTTGAACCATTTATTCAATTTTAAATGAAATAAAGAGTGTTATCCAATAAGATATTTTTGCTATAGATAACTCATGTGTTATTTGGAATAAATATAGTAGGATAAATTTGTGTTGACAATTATTACATAAAATCGTTTGAGCATTATCTTTAAATAGTTTTGTTTGAGATTTATATATTGCTATAAAGTGTATATTTACAAAATTATCAATCTTTATTATCGTGTATTGATATTGTACCATTGATAAATACAAGTGATACTACTTGATCAAAAATCACAAAAACCAAATCAAAATTTACCAAATTGCTAATTTACTTATCAAAAGTTAAAATAGTCTAACCCCTGTACATACCTCGTGAGATTTTTTATTGGAACAAAATTATAGGAAAAAATTAAAACACAACACGAGTGTTTTTGGAGTTAAAGGTTAAGGGTGTTTTTGGAATTTTAGGCAGAAAATATCGTCTTCCAAATTCCCAAAGAATGGAGCCATAAGAATACCAATCCCAGCAATCGCAGCTACAAAAATCCGAAACAATCGCGTCGTTTCCAATTCAGGGAGAAGGTTTCACCATTTCCAAAGGTTCTCTTTCAATCCTCAGCTATGGCCGCAACGACAGCGCAAAATCCTGAAAACCCTAGCTGAGCCGTCAGATCCCAATCCACCGGCTATAAGCGAATCCACACTCGATTCCGCACCTGACTCGGTAAAATCACCGCCTTCTGCCGATGCCAAGGAGGAAATCAAGTCGATGGTGGCGGGCGGAGATGACAGTTGTCAGGGCAATGATATTCAGAAGAAGATGAAGCGAGCTGAGCGGTTTGGAGTGCCAGTTCAGCTATCCGAAGAAGATAAGCGAAATTCTCGAGCTGAGAGGTAAATTATTTATCTTTAAATTGCTGAATGAATTAGGGTTTGAGGCTTATTCCATAATTTTGTGAGTATTTTTATTTCAGTTTACCATGTCGCTACCTATGTGCCGAAAGGAATGACTGGTTCTGAGTGCAAGTATAAGCATAAATTTTTGGTGTGAATTCCGGCATTTTCTTAATTTTGTTTTTTAAATAAGACTTATGTTCTTAGAAACTGTTAGTACTTTGTACGAGATAAGTTCCCAAGAACAAATGTCACACAATTGTTCTTGCTGGAAACTTGTATTCCTAATTGGTTTTCATTTTGGAATTTTGGCTCCGTTTGTTGAAGTTTCCCTGCAGTACCATTAGGTTCAACTGGATGTCTTTGAGGATTTGTGGTGGTCATTGGTGGATATGAGTTGGTAATGGATTTTTGGTTCTGTGAGGAAAATTGCTTGGCAATTAAACTCAATATTTTCTGATGCAATTTAATGCTTAATTGAGAAGATGAGCTGTTAAACAATTTTTTGAACTTTATCCTAGGAACGTCAAGACACTTCATAAAAGATGCAGATATTGGATTACTATTTTCTGAGGTTTAATTATCTATCTGGTTGCTGCCCTCAGGGTTTTGATCTAGTGGTAAGTGTGTGGTTTAGGTGCATATCACGTGTTTGAACACTGCCATAGACAAAAAGTCTAGTATTTAAGTAGAGAAGGGTAGAGTGCCAGGCCCATTATCCATCGAGTTTTGGACCTTGTGCCACTGGTCTTTGGTATTTCTCAGCTATCAAAAAAAAAAAAAAAATTCTATCTGGTTGCAGTTGCAATTGAAATGCACATATATGTGACAAGTGAATGGCATCCCTTAGTTTGTCACCAAAAAAAGTGATAGAATTCTTGTGTTCTGCATTTTCTGTTTTAATTTCTTACATCTGTGTCTTATATTTCAGACGTTTTTTTGGCTGTATTGTATCAGGTTTGGAACTGGGTCCTCAGTTCAAGGGTCAGATGCTTTAAAGAAATCTGAGGAGCATAAGAGGCAGGCTAGAGCTGAGAGGTTTTTGTTTCTGCCTGTTTTCTCCGACTGAAATGTAGCAGTTAAATTGTTTTTGAGTTTCTTGATAAGTTTGGTTGTTCGTCAGGTTTGGGCTTGTGAAATCTGACACAACTGAAGAGGAAGCTAAGAAGAAGGCCAGGTTGTCAAGGTTTGCACCACCGGTGAAGACTGATCCTGTGGAGGAAGATAAAAGGAAAGCTAGGGCTCTCAGGTTGTAAAACTGAAAACTGTTCGCTTTCTCTTGATGCCATCTTTGGAGTCTCACAAAACAGTATATAAGATTCCATAAATAAGTCAGTCTGTCAGATATGTGACTTAATTCTGATAGTCCTGTGTTTTTTAAATAGGTTTTCACAACCCCAGTCTGGTTCACAATCACAAGCAAATGGCAAGGGAAACATTGAGCAGGTTTGTTTTTGTATACATAGGCAGTGCATATGGTTTGACCCAAAAAGATAAAAGAAAAGAGAAGTATCATCATTATGCATTTGAATGCTTTTACTTTAATTTTGCATGTGGTGTTCACGTGATTTTGATAACGGGATGTGACCTTCTAATGTAGAAATTAAAGAGGAAAGCTTTTATTTATTTTGGTCTTCGTCACTTCTTCTCACTAGCCTGTGTGCTTGAGCTGAGCTCGTAAAAACATAATAGGAACAGAATCCTAACATATTTTAGATCTCCCACTAGAATAGAGAAGAAAAGGAACACAATCCTGGCTTCTCTATCCAAATCTCTTCCATAACATTCACTAGAAAAGAGTTTAAAAAGAAAATGAAGAGTAAATGAAAGAATTTAGATGTTCTTTTTCGATTCTTCATTCTTTTAGCTCCTATATGATGACTGAATTTTGGTGCTTTCCTTCAGCTGGTTATGATTTTCTTCTCAGCCTTTCATTTTTAAAATCATTATCTTTCATCAGCAATCTAAAAGGGTTTTCCACCTCCTTTTTTGGGAATTTGGTGAACCCTATTCCTAAATCCTCTCTCCACCAAGGCTAATAATGATCTTCCCACTTTTCACCCTTTGGTGACTCGAGCTTCCAGTTGCAAGTGCAAAACTGTAGGCGGACTGTTTCTGCCTAATTGGAAGTTATGCAATAATGCTGTCTCTGTGTCAGATTCTCCTTCTACTTCAACCGAAGCTTAAGGCACAGTAATCAATTTCCTTCTATCAAGTTCCTCGAGCTTTACTGTATTTTATTTGATTTTTAACTTGGGCAAAATTTTGTTCTGTCTTTATTGATGTGGAAACTGAAGGATATAGAAAGTGGATGTCATATTGACTTGTTGTCTAAATATGCTTATTGTCATTTTGATAGTGCATGTTGTTTATGTTGAACGTCAACTGTGCATAGCTCGTGGGAGTTTTGCTTAGGATGTTTAAGCTTCTAGTTCTTTGCATGTTGGTTCATTAGTTACCCCAGGGATCCTTTGCCCTTTGAGGTTCTCCTTCTCAATCACCTATAGATTTTATTTCAACCTCCAATTGTCCCAAAGATTGATAGTATTAGATTTCTTTCCCTTGCTGGTTTGATGTAGATACTGATTAACTAACAGTTCATGTGCAGCCACAATTTCCCACATGTGGTATTGAACAGGATGTTTAAAGACCTACTCATGGTTCTTGGGAAAGATGGAACATCATTTTAGTAGAGCTAACTTTATAATATAGGGTTGAATGCAATTTTACAAAATTTACTTCAAGATTGATGTGTGGAATTGACTAGCAAATCTTGAAGCCTTGAACATCATTAATACCTAGGAAAGCAAGCATATTAGAAATGCTAGTCTGCACTGCCATGTGCCATGTAGATTTTTGGTTTGTCTATTTTAGGCAATCCAAAAACAGCTTCAATAGCTTATCTCTGCATATGAGGTGGCTTTTGGAAGTCCATATTCATCGCTCTCTGGAAATGAAGATGAGATCTACTTCTTAAAAAGGAACCCTTCCATCACAAATACCAATTAGTGGAGGGTTTGTACTTCCATAATCTCAGGCTCCTATTGAGAGCCATATTAGTGCACCTGAGATCTTCTAGTTTTTCTTAAACAACTCACTTGTGAGTGAGAAGCAGTGAAATACCAAAGATAGGTTTCCACAGAAAATTATTCTATTTTTCACCTGAGATCTTCTAGTTTTACTTAAACAACTCACTTGTGAGTGAGAAGCAGTGAAATACCAAAGATAGGTTTCCACAAAAAATTATTCTATTTTTCCTTACCCTGTTAGTTGCTGCTTGTCTCTAATTTCAGAGTATGGTAAGACATTTGAGCTCAAGATTCTTGGAAATCACAACAATCACTAGTCATGCAGCTAATTTTATTTGTTATCTTTGTTGCAATGAATTTTTATGTACTCTGTCTCTGGTTGTTTAGTTTGTTATATAAGGGTTGATGATCCAAAAAATATATAGAGGCTGATGGAGTTTGAAAAATGGAACATCAAGAGCTATTGCGAACTAGATGATTCTTAAGTTAAAAGATAACAATATAACATTAGCATAGCAAAATTTCATAATTGCCTTTTGTTTTGGTTTAGATAGTTGTTTTTTCCTTTTTTGAGATATATATTAAAGGTTTTTTGTTTCAGCGCTGAGTACTTGTCACCGTCAACTCTTCCAGATTGTGCGCCCATTTTTTTTTTTCAAATTCTAGACCCCTCTTTGTTTAATACTAATTTTCTCTAGTATAAATTGAATAGTTTTCCTAATCGACGAATACGTTTAATTCAGGATGATGTTGCTGTGGACAAAGCTGGAGAGGAACCTGAATGATTCCTAACTTTGTTAAAGAGTAAGACTTGCCGTTGCGTGTGGTTTGGGCTTTGTTAACTGCGAGTCACAGTTCCTTAGATATCTTTTAACCACTTCTTTTTTATTCTTTCAGGTTGGTGGGCTAGGATTCTAATGTTTTTGAGTTCCCAGTAGATTATAGAATTCGGACCTTCAAATTTACAGCAAAAAACTTTTCTAGTCTCTTAAAGTAGCACGCCGTGCGTTTCTGGGGACACTAGGTTAATTGACAACCACCTGCTTGGCGTCAAACTACCGTAAATTACCTGTGATCAATATTAAAAATGATGAAACTACAACCAAAGTATCCTTAGAAGAGTTTGATTTGACACTTGATCATCAATCTCTTAGTTATTAATCTGCAATTATTTTATATTGTTTGTATTACCCTTTAACATAGGAAAAAGTTGTCGGCTGTTGCATTTCAAGGATCAACCAGTGTTAGAAATTTAGTTCTTACTTATCCGAGGGGTTCAAAACAGGTTGGGAATTGCTTGATGTTAAATGTTCCCTAAGGTTAGAGACTGTCATTGAACTTGCCTAATTTGTGAACAATGGGTCAACATCTTGGGTGTTTTGCTGGTTCATTCAGCCTTCATCACTCTTATAGCTGAAGTAGGAAATGTAGTGCAGCTTGAGTTTTCTAGCAGATAAACATTTATCTTGCATTTAAAAATCCAAGATAATTTGTACTTCTCTTTGATGCATCATATGGTTTTCGTTTGGCCGTCTTATTATTAATCTTTTTGTTGGGTTCTCGATAGGCAGTAGAAAGGTAAGACTAGTTATCTCTGTTGCATTATATAGTTGCTAGTGCATCTCATGGTTCTTCTGACATTATTTAAGGGCCTTTAAAGTCATTTGGGAAAAAGTGAAAAAAGACTCACCTTGATTGTGAAACTTGTTTGCATATTGCTCGACTTTCTACAAAATTTCACATTGCTATGTCATTTGATGGTCAAGTTGTCAAATCTACATTTCTTCAAAGTGGTTCTTGTTTGGATTTAGCTGTTTGCTTATTAAGGTTCACTGGTTTAAGAGCTTCCCAGGTTTCCACTTTACGATTTGATGTGGGTTATTTTGGACAGATTGACACTTAGCAGGTGTTGTTTAACTACCTAGTATCCCCGGATAATTCTTGTAGGATGCGGTCGATGCTGTGTAAAAGTAGGCATAGAATTTCCTGTGAAGGAATCTAGTTATGTTTTTTTTCTTGTTATTGTCCACTTAAATTGTACAAGACAATGTTAATTTTGTTGTGTTCAGTCGTTGAACTTATCTTGTAGCCAATTGACGCATTTGTGTTTCTACTGTTTTTTTTATTTCTCTCTTCTTTATGATTCAAATCCATCCAAGTTTTTTACTTTCTCAAATTCTTGCATTGTTTCGACTTGAATAGAGCTAGTGGAAAGTTTTTCAAGGTTTTTACTGATGTGGTCAAACAGCAACAAAGGTCGAAACAGAGGATCATAGGTTTATGTTTTAGAGTTTGTGTGTTATGCTGCTGTGGACAAAACGTAAATAGCTAAGATCATTTCACAAGCAAAGTGCTGAAACAATTAATGCCTAGACGGGGTACTATTATTTTAGGGCAAATAAAAAGCATTTCTATTGAATACTACATTTTTAAGTCATCTAGAGGATTCGATTCCTAAAATAATGAAATTGAAACTGTGACTGCTTTCAGTTATATCTTACCGGTATCATTGTCTATGGTTCCTAATTGAAATTGCAAGTAGTCTTCACAGCTAGTCTAAGCGCATTCAAGGAGCTTGTGTCCACATCCGTAGAGGTGTGTGGCAGATTCAAGCCTCGATTATTGCGTTCAAGGAAAATATGGGTTTCATATCTCTAAATGCAGAAAATTGGAGAAGTAACTGTCATAGCTTCTGTTCTCGCTGCAAACTCTTGCGCTAGTACAAGAAGTTCCATGTACTTGTGCTCGTCGCCAATACTACAAAACTCTTCATCTCCTATTTATTGTCCATTTTTTTTTTTTTTTTTTTTTTTTTTTTTTTTTTTTTTTTTTTTTTTTTTTTTTTTTTTTTTTTTTTTTTTTTTTTTTTTGTATTATAACTAAAGGCAGCATTATCCACTGCCCAGAAAGAAACGATCAGTTAATATACCATGAAGGTGACATCAAATAAGCAAAGAAAAGTAATTTGAGGCCTCAGCTAATTAGGGTACAATGTTTCTATGTGGACTGGTTGAAGTGAATTTGGAAATATCCAAACTTGGAGCTACGTTTTGGGAGAGTAGTGTCCTATTGGTCTAATTCCTGCTTTCCCCTTGGTATCATTAAAAGGGTTGGTAAATGCTACCCAATGAGATTTCCTTCTCTTTCCCGGACACCGAGCAAAGGAAACTTTGGCTTCACTTGTCGTAGTAAGTCCACCCCTCTATAAACTTTCCCTATCGATCTGATGAACCTCTTTCTGCATGTTCTCTAGAGTTCAAGAATAGATTCTTGCCTATTCCTTGTTTGTTCATTAAGTTTGTTTTCCTCTAAATGCAACATGAAAAATACCTATATTATAGGGGAAAGACGACTAAGCAACTATTGGAAATTTTGACCCCATTTAGCTAGGGTGGAAATTCTTAATTATAATCTAGAGAGTAGAGGTCAACATTATCGAGTATATTCACTTCTATAAAATCATCAATTAGCTTACGAATCTTGAGATATGAGGGAGATATTTTTCTAACGAAAAATATTTGAGGCGAATTTAAACATGGCCGCAGCTTTAGCTATTATATATGATCAAATTTATTTTCTTACATCTCCGCATCCTTTGCTCCTTTTTTCACGCTGCTCTCTTCATGTCGAACAAACAAGAAAATCAAAATCAAACATAAAAAAGGGAAAATTGTAGTAACCCAAAATTTCAGGACCCTAGGGGTTAACCATTTCTCATTTCCATTTACATGGATTGTCATTATCAATGACAATACTAATCCCAAAAATCCAAATCTTATCAGCAGTATTGCTGCTGTTCTTCATTTTCACTTTCATTTCTTCTGCAGATGCAACAACATTCGACTGGGTCCAACAAGAATTCCTCAAGGCTCACAATGATCTAAGAGCAAGCGTTGGCGTCCCTCCTTTGCAATGGGACGCCAATTTGGCTAATTTTGCACAATCTTGGGCTAATTCACGCAAACAAGATTGCAATTATAGACAACATTCAACTAGTCCTTATGGCGAAAACATATATTGGGAACTATATAGACAGACCCCCGCGAGTGGGGTTGTTCAAAAATGGTTCTCAGAGAAGCAATTTTTCAACCAGGCGACAAATCTTTGCAATTGCCATCCTGAACGCGAGATATGTGAATGTGGCCATTACCTTAACATTATATGGCGTACTACCACGAAAGTTGGCTGCAGTTCATTTACTTATTGCAATGATCAAAAGGGTGTTTATGTTGTGTGTTCGTATGATCCTATAGGAAATGTAAAAGGTGTCAACCCTTTGAATCCTGGTAACAATGTGGCTGTAACATCGCCAAGTTTACCACCAAAACCTTTGAATAATGGTACTGCACGACATGCCAGAGGCCAAGGCAGAGGCAGAGGCAGAGGTAGAAAGTCTCGACGTGGCAGAGGTAGACGAAACAAGCGCGTTTAAACGTCTCCAATTTCACTATTGGATCATCGTCATGATTAATGACGATGCCCCAAAAAATAGCTGAGATATGATCTCCAATGGAGCACTTTGTGTGTTCAGAATGTAACAAGTATTCTGCTTCTGTCCAACTCATACATTAATGCATCAACATTTTTTCTTATTTGAACTCGTGCTAATTTATGGGAAATACATTCTTATTACTCTCTTTATGCGTTTTTTTTCTTTTTTGCTCTACAAATGACACATTTTATGTATGGAATCACTTTAATTTAAACTCCCTATTTTACCCTTAAACTTCTTATTTTACCCTAATGACAAGTTGTATAACTTGAACTATATAAAGAGAATGGGAACTATATAACTTGAACTATTTATAACTTGAACTATATAAATACCATTTTGTGTAGGAAGAGAATGGGAAAGAGAGAATGACATGATTGACAAGGATTTTTCTACCACTTCCACATAATGAAGTTCTTCGTCTGTTGAACCTTATGTGGGCTGGGGCGGATTTAGGGGGCTGAAGGAGGTTATTCGAACCCCCTTCGTCGGAAAATTACACAGGCAAAATCTATTTTTGTGCTCTATATATTATGTTTACACAGCTCAAAAGCATAGCTTAGTCAAGGGGGTTCAAAACCTCTGTAACGTCGCGGGTTCAATTTGTTAGATATTTTACTTAGTTAGTTTCTACTTTCTTAGTCTTATGGGTATATGGGGGAGTTGTATACTTAGTGGACTAAGTGAATTTGTTTTAACTGCCTTTATGGCTTAGTGCTTCAGATAATGTAGGAACTGTATTGCCTTTATAAAGGCTTGTTCGTTGTTGAATTTTATTGCAATAATTTTATCTCCCCAAAATTGCTTTGTGTTTATCTAGTTTTCTTCCAGATTTCTAACACAATTCCCGTTGGCCATAATATCTTTTAATTTTTCTTTTTTAAACCCCCTTAGTGAAAATTCTGTATCTGTCAGTATATGTGGGATTATACTATTAGATGTCAATCTGTCACAACCCTTAATCTTGGATAATGATATAAGCACAAGAAATCTGTAGCAATAACAACAAACCTAGTGAATTCTCACAAATGGGGTTTAGGGAGGATAATGTGTACGCATACCCTAACCCTATTTCTGAGAGGACAGAGAGACAGTTTCTGATGGACCCTCGACTAGAGAGTAGATAAACAAGAAATCTGTAGCAAGCTTCGGTTTTTCATCCAAGAAAACAACACTAGAGGCAAAACTTCACATACAAGGTATTTGTTGTGAACTCTAAAATCTATTAAAAAAGGACTTAGTTCTTCCACTGAAATGAGAGATTCATGACCAACAAAGCAAAAACCAGGAAAAAATGACTTTCACTCTGAAGAGAAAACTTTGGTTTCTAACTGATAAGCTTTTGTGAAGAATGAAGGCCAAGAGAGGTACGTCGAGAAGATGCTACTAACAGTAGAAGCTCCAATAAGCATATTCATTACCACAATTTGCAATTGAATAGCCTCAAGAGGAGATGCTCCTCCCATTATAAGTCCAGTCATTGCACCTGGAAGTGATATTAGACCAACCGTCTTTGCATTGTCTAACACAGGAGATAGAGCAATAACCAACGATCTTTTCACTTGTTGAATTGTTGCTTGTCTAGGCGTTGCCCCTAGAGCCAAGGCTGTCTCAACCTAGCCAAAAAAAGAAAACTTTTGAGTATTATAATACGAAAAGTGCCTTATTCTAAAATTGATCATAATAATGTAGCAACATAAAAGGATAGCTCGGTGCACTAAGCTCTCGTTATGCGCGGGGTCTGGAGAAGGGTTGGACCACAAAGGTCTTTGGTATACAACCTTACCCTGCATTTCTGCAAGAGGTTGTTTCCACCGTGACCTCCTGTTACATGGCAGCAACTTTACCAATAACGACAAAGTTCCCTTTTAATATAACAACATTATTGCATATTAAATAAGTTTTTCGCGATTGGGCGAGAATTTAAAGAGTAAATGATCAAATTTACCATTGTACTATTCGAAATTAATCAACTTTACAATTCTGTTAGACTTTTTGGTCTAATAATATCTTCACTGCTAGAAAAAAGTCTCGTTTTGCCTGTGTTCCCTAATATATGGAGTTCCCTAAGGATAATTTGAGACTAGTTTAATTTTTCGTGAAGAGGGAAAAGACTTTCACCAGTTTCTTGAGTGAGATGCGGATGTTGGTGAAAAAAGGAAGTTGAGTTCAAGTTTGGAGCACATGACAAAAGCCAAAGATCCAGGGATGACTCTAAAAGTTAACGAGATAATTCTGGTTAAACTGTGCATTCCTCTGAGCAAGGAAAGATCTTTCAAAAAAAGAATCAAGAGAAAACGCTAGAACCGACGTAAGTAAGATCCGCTACAACTAGAAGTCGATCTGGTACACAAGCGCAATTCATCCATTTCACGCTCGAGCTCCATTAGTAGCAACGAAAAATATGAGGAGATATGGCAAGAGTATGAATAAGACCAAAAGTGTTGGGAATAAACCCCGTAAAAATAATATTCACGGTATTAGTGATAAACGCGGAACACTAAGTTATGGTTAAATCAGCAAGAATAGAAATGCATCAATAATGACACCAAGATTTTACGTGGAAACCCTTCCGAATAAGGGAAAAACTACGGCCAAGAAGAGCAACTGATATCACTATAGCGAAGAATTTTACACTGTGTAGTAACTAGTAAAAATACTCCTAAGACCACTACACCCTCAAAAGAAATAAACACTCTTTTGCTTTTTTCACCTCACTACAATATCTCTCATACTCTATTTTTCTTCACAAACTATTTTCTTATAGTTTATAGAATACCTTGCTCTCTCTGTTTTCTCTCTTTGTTGGTGTGATGAAATGGGAGTTGAAGCTCTCCTTTTATAGCCAAAACCTCACTCTCTAAAGCCTACAATATTTGACAATTTTGCACACACTTTTCACAATTTCAACAAGGTTGGCTACCAAACCAAACCAAGTCAACAAAATTGGCTACCAAATCATACCAATTCAACAAGGTTGGCTACCAAACCATTTAGATGAGATGAACACCATCAATCTCCCCCTCAAGTCTCATTCATCTAGAGGAGGTAACACTGTCTTCTAGTTTGAGTTCATGCCGATAAGTTCTTGCATAGCTCGAACTTGTCTCTTGGTACCACCTTGGTCAACATATCTGCAGGATTTTCACTCGTGTGAATCTTTTTGACTTGAAGTGATTCGTTCTCCACTTGCTCACGAATCCAATGATATCTGACGTCAATGTGTTTTGTTCTCGCATGGTACATGGAGTTTTTGCTCAGGTCTATTGCACTCTGACTATCGCAATAGACAACATACTCCATCTGTCGCAATCCAAGTTCTTGAAAAAATCTCTTGAGCCATATCATCTCTTTGCTAGCTTCAGTAGCCGCAATATACTCCGCTTCAGTTGTAGATAGTGTGACACACTTCTGCAACTTCGAATGCCATGATATAGCTCCCTCTGAAAAAGTAAACAAATATCCAGTAGTGGATTTTCTATTATCAAGGTCACCTGCCATATCAAAATCTGTATAGCCCTTCAAAATTGGATTTGATCCTCCAAAACATAAGCATTCATGTGAGCTTCCTCTTAGATACCTGAGTATCCACTTTAGAACTTCCCAATGCTCTTTTCCTGGATTTTCGAGAAATCTGCTAACAACACCGACTGCAAGAGCAATATCTGGTCGAGTGCATACCATTGCATACATCAAACTTCCGACGGTAGAGGAATAAAGAATCATGTCCATTCTCTTTTTTTCCTCCGTTGTTGTTGGACACATCTTCTTACTTAACTTCAGATGACCAGAAAGGGGTGTGCGAACCAACTTGGCACTTTTCATATTGAAGCGCTCCAGTACACGTTCTATGTACTTCTCCTATGACAAGTAAAGCTTCCTTTCGTTTCTTGAACGAGTAATTCTCATACCCAAAATATGCTTAGCATGACCCAAGTCTTTCATTGCAAAAGACTTATTCAACTGTTTCTTCAACATGTTAATCTTGGAAGCATTCCTGCCCACAATCAACATATCATCCACATATAGCAAGAGGATGATAAAGTCATCATCAGAAAATCTTTGTACAAACACACAGTGATCTGAAAAAGTCTTCTTGTAGCCTTGCTCCCCCATAACAGACTCAAACTTCTTGTACCACTGTCCGGGGGCTTGCTTCAATCCATATAGACTCTTCTTAAGTTTGCATACAAGATTTTTCTTACCCTTTGCCTTGAAGCCCTCAAGTTGTTCCATATAAATCTCCTCTTCTAAGTCACCGTGAAGAAAAGCAGTTTTCACATCCATCTGCTTAATCTCCAAATCAAGACTAGCAGTCAAACCAAGAACTGTCCGAATGGAGGACATTTTCACGACAAGAGAAAATATTTCGTCAAAGTCAATACCTTTCCTTTGACCAAATCCCTTGACAACCAATCTAACTTTGTATCTGGGCTTCAAACTATGTTCTTCAGCTTTAACTTTGAACACCCACTTATTCTTCAAAGCTCTCATGCCCTTAGGCAATTTCACCAACTCATAAGTATGGTTCTCATGCAGAGATTTTATCTCATCTTGCATGACTTCAATCCATTGATCCTTATGCTCATCTTCTATGGCCTCCGCATAACATTCAGGTTCTTCTCCAGCAGTGAGTAATACATACTCATTGGGTGAATAACGGGAGGAAGGAGTACGAGGTCTAGAAGACCTCCTGAGTGGAATATCTAACTTGTCCACAGCTTCGTGAGTATGAGCATCTACCTCATCAACATTATCATTGTTATCACCATCACCATCAATATGTTGATTTGAAATATGGTTTTAGGCATCACCATCATCATTGAGCCCACCAACGTCATCCGCATTTGTATGAGGAACTTGATCAAGATTAACTAAACCTTCAGAACTTAGAGATTTTAGCTTCACCGCTTTGTTAATATCTTCAATGGTTTGATCCTCCACGAAGATAACATCACAACTTCTCACGACCTTTTTCTCAATTGGATCATATAGCCTGTAACCAAACTCATCAAGGCCATAACCAATGAAGATGCACTGCCTTATCTTGGCAGTTAATTTTGACCTCTCATCTTTAGGCAAATGTACAAAAGCTTTGCAACCAAACACTTTCAAGTGGTCATAGGAAACATCCTTGCCATACCAAACTCTGTTTGGAACATCACTTTGCAGAGCAACAACAGGGGATAAATTAATAACATGTGCGGCGGTCAACAAAGCCTCACCCTAAAAGGAATTCAACAACTTTGCTTCAGAAAGCAAACATCTGACTCTTTCCATCAAGGTCCTATTCATCCTTTCTGCTAAACCATTAAGCTAAGCAGTCTTAGGAGGAGTCTTCTGGTGTCTGATACCCTGTTGTTTGCAGTATTCATCAAACGATCCACAATATTCACCACCGTTATCAGTACGAATACACTTCAATTTTTTTTCAGTTTCTCTTTCAACTGAAGCCTGAAACTGCTTAAAGACACCCAACACTTGGTCTTTAGTCTTCAAGATGTAGACCCAAAGTTTTCTTGAGCAATCATCAACAAAGGTAGCAAAATAAAGTGCACCACCCAAAATTCTTGTCTTCATTGGACCACATAAGTCTGAATGCACCAACTCAAGCAACTCTGTCTTTCTTGAAGGAGGATGAGACTGGAAAGAAACTCTTTTTTGTTTTCCAGCCAAGCAGTGCTCACATTTTTCTAATTTTGCACTTTCAAAATTTGACAACAATTTCTTCTAGGCCAGAAAATTTAGTCCTTACTCGCTAATGTGGCTAAGCCTCTTATGCCATAACGTGGAAGAGTTATTGCTCTCAACGACATTCACCATATCAACACAGGTAGAGGCCGTAGTCCAGTATAGACCACAACGCTTTTCCCCACGAGCCACAATCATGGAGCCCTTAGTGAGCTTCCACTTTCCAGCACCATTGGTACTGACATATCCCTCATCATCCAAAACACCAACAGAGATCAAGTGCAATCGAACATCAGGTGCATGCTTTACATTGTTTAAAATTAGTTTAGTTCCAGTACTAGTTTCCAAACAAATCATTCCAACACCAACCACCCTAGATACAGTCTCATTACTCATACTCAAAGTTCCGAAGTCACCCTGAGTATAGGATGAGAAAAATTCCTTCCTTGATGTCACATGAGATGCGGCACCACTTTCCACAACCCAGCTTGACTCATCACAAGCAATATTTATCAGATCTGCATCAAGGACGGTAACAAGATCTTCTGTAGTTACGGTGGCCACACAATTGCCATCTTCTTTCTGTTCTTCCTTGTCTCTATTTTCCTTTTTCAAAATCCGGCAGAACTTCTTTGTGTGCCCTTTCTTCCCGCAATGATAGCACTCAATATCTTTAAGTCTGCTTCTGGATTTGCTTCTATTATGTTCTCTATTTTGAGAACCCCGATTCTTGCTTCTCCCCCTAGAGTCAGTCACCAAGACATCTGATGAGGAGGAACCTTGAGATTTTCTTCTCATCTCTTCATTTAAAAGGCTGCTCTTGGCAAGATCCATAGAGATCACACCATCCGAAGTAGAATTTGATAATGAAGTTATAAGAATTTCCCAAGAATCTGGTAGGGAACCAAATAGAAACATGCCTTGAATTTCTTCATCAAATTTAATGCTCATAGCAGATAACTGGTTCATGTTCCCCTGAAAATTATTCAGATGATCTGTCATCACGGAACCATCATGGTATTTTAAACCCAACGTCTGCTTTATTAGAAACATCTTGTTGTTTCCAGTTTTCCGAGCATACAAATTTTCAAGGTGCTCCCATAGGGTCCGAGCATGTGTCTCCCCAGAAATATGGTTCAAAACATTATCGTTAACCCACTGTCTAATAAAGCCGCAAANAGGGTCCGAGCATGTGTCTCCCCAGAAATATGGTTCAAAACATTATCGTTAACCCACTGTCTAATAAAGCCACAAACCTGCCTGTGTAACAAATTCCACTCTTCATCTGATTTATTATCAGACTTTATAGTGGCGAAGACAGGTTGACATAGAGCAATCTTCCATTTTGCCCTTCCAAATGGCATAATTTGTGCTATTCAAAGTAACTATTTTACTAGTGTTGACTTCCATTGTTTATCACAAATACAAATACTATTTATTATAAGACTAAAGTAATTCTTTTCTAATGTGGAAGTTCAGACTGTGCTGCAACCACAGAGCATACTCAGACAGAACCTTGGCTCTGATACCACTTGTTGGGAATAAACCCCGTAAAAATAATATTCACGATATTAGTGATAAACGCAGAACACTAAGTTATGGTTAAATCAGCAAGAATAGAAATGCAGCAATAATGACACCAAGATTTTACGTGGAAACCCTTCTGAATAAGGGAAAAACCACGGCCAAGAAGAGCAACTGATATCACTATAGCGAAGAATTTTACACTGTGTAGTAACGGGTAAAAATACTCCTAAGATCACTATACCCTCAAAAGAAATAAACACTCTTTTGCTTTTTCTACCTCACTACAATCTCTCTCACACTCTATTTTTCTTCACAAACTATTTTCTTATAGTTTATGGAACACTTTGGTCTCTCTCTTTTCTCTCTTTGTTGGTGTGATGAAATGAGAGTTGAAGCTCTCCTTTTATAGCCAAAACCTCACTCTCTAAAGCCTACAATATTTGACAATTTTGCACACACTTTTCACAATTTCAACAAGGTTGGCTACCAAACCAAACCAAGTCAACAAAATTGGCTACCAAATCATACCAATTCAACAAGGTTGGCTACCAAACCATTTGAATGAAATGGACACCATCAAAGTGTAACGGAAGAGTATGAATAAGACCAAAAGTGTAACGGAAAGGCAAACTTGAGCAATTTCGGATAGTACAGAGACATTGCTTGCATTAAGCTTTAAAACTTATCGTCTACTTTCGGAAGATATTTGAAACAGAGAACTCATAATTTGTGACATGAGACGTACCAGGGACATTTGTATCTTGATGTCATCGCGAAGTTTTTTCATTGTAACGCCAGTAACTGTCATTGCATTGCCTACCATCATCCCCGCGACGGGGATGATGTAGCGAGGAGTGAAAGGGAAAACATTTAAAATTACCAATAAAAACATAGTGATAGAAGTTCCAGTAAGAATGGAAACTCCTGCTATATATTTTCCTCGTGGTACATGTTTGGCACGCTGTCCTGCCGTATAACCAGCAATAGTAACCTGCACAACCAATTAATTAGTAAGAAGATTATTTACCTAGTTTGATGCCATAAAATAAAATACTAGCCAATATTCGTAGTGTAATTGGTTTGGAAATCAGCATAAACACTTGTGAAGAGAAAATATTTTCTAAATTATTTTCCTTGATTGTTTTGGTGTTCACCTTGTCAATAATGATCCCACTAGCAGAAATAAGCTTAGGACCCGTTTGTCCACAAAAAAAATTTCATTTTTTCCGAATTTTCGTTCTTCAAATGTGTTTGTTCATGAAATTTTGCAAATATTTGGAAATTTTTCGAAAATAAGTTTTTCAGAAAAGCTTTTTTCCCCACTTACAAAACTCTAATATTTTTTCAGTGAAATGCATGTCCAAATGCCTACTTAATTTCTGAAAAGTCTTTGTTAAGAAGCCTTCAAAATTTAAAAGACTAGATTTAGGCTGTTTTTTGTAGGACAAAAGTCATTTTTTGAAAATGACTTACGTTTTCTGATATTTGGCTGGAAAATAATTTTTTTCAGAAAAGGTATTGACGAAAGATTGATATAATATATTAGCAAGGCGGATAATATTTTGATGAAATTCTTTAGTATTAGAAATTAATAATATTTTATATATAATTATTGGTTAAAAAAATAATATGGAGTCAAGAGTTTTGATAATTCTAAAATAACATCCCTCCCGCCAAAAAACAAGGGAAGTCATTTTTCTCTTTTGGTGTATACTTAGTAGGCGTTTGGACATAAAAATTGTAAATTTTTAAGAAAAAGCAAAAAAAAAATTTCAAGTGAAAATAGTATTTGAAAATTAGAGTTGTGTTTGGACATGAATATAATTTTGAATTTTTTTGAATTTTTGTGAGTGATCTGAGTAAAAATTTTGAAAAATAACTTTTCGAAATTTTTCAAATTTTCGAATAATTCCAACATTCATTTTCAAGTGAAAATTGAAAATTTTATATCCAATTACTAATTTCGAAAAAAGTGATTTTCCCCCCAAAAAAGTGGAAAAATTCTTTTGTCTAAACGGGCTCTTATTTTTCTAATTTTATCGGATGTCATGTGGGGACAAAATACTTTTTTCTAATCAAACACAAAAAGATTGATTTAAAAGGTCAATCAACTGATGATAGACATACTACGAGAAAAGAAAAAAAGAGATAATGGATGCCAATTGCAATAAAGTCAACTGCCGAATCAGCAAGTGGGAGAAGAATATCATTATTTAAATCCTTTTGGAATCTATTTTCAACTAGATTATGATAGAATAAAGTAGGACTGCTCATAATAAGAAAAATGAAAAACATGTATTTGTTGAATGATTCTTTGCTGAACGTGAAAAGAAGCGGAGAATCTTGAAAAAATAAGTTTTATATGGTTAGACTTTGGTAAATAATTTACCTCGAGAAACAAGAGGAAAAGGTAAAAAACTACCGTAACAATATTAATTAAACCTCGATTTAAAATAAGTTGAAATTCACTTTATAACTAATTACTGTTCTATGACGTTCCATTTAACCTCATCTCAAACTCATGCGGTCTGACATAAAAATAAAAATTACTACTATAAATGTCTAACCTGATAAGGTGACTCTTAGAAATATAGAACCTATAGTAAATGTGCTAACTAATAGCCTGTTTGGCCAAGCTTCTTAGACAAAAAAAATGCTTTTTTTTTATAAGCATTTTTTTTTTCTTAATTTGAGGCGTTTGGCTAAGCTTATTTGGGAAAAAAAAATGTTTTTGGGAAGAAGCAGAAGCAGTTTCAGAGAAGCATAAAAAAGTAGCTTCTTTCCAAAAGCAGAAGCAGAAGCAGTTTTGACTTTTCTTCTTACCTAAAACACCCTTAACAAAATATAGTATATACCAAAATAACCCTTAAACCTAATACTTAGGATATTAATTTATAAATATTTCTTCTTATTTTTAGGAAACTTTCTAATATATAGTGTCTTTAGGGGTGAATGCTTTTATATTTGTTGAAGGAATTTTAATATATTTAACTTATATTAAAAGAATTAAGTACTTTTTAATTTTATTTTCATATTTTACTTAAATAAAATGAATTTTTTTAATTATTGTATGTAATAACAAAATTTTTATATTATTTATATACTTAAAATATTAATTATTAAGTAAATCTATTCATGTCCTTATTCGTAATTTGACACTTAAAAGCACTTTCTAAAAAGCTTGGCCAAACACAAATTATTTCTCAAAAGTGCTTTTCAGACTGACCAAACACAAACTGATTCTTTCCAAAAATACTTTTTTCAAAAGCACTTCTCAAAATAAACTGATTTCTCCAGCTTGGCCAAACAGGCTATAAGAACACTTAAATAGATGCATAGTTTTATTCTATTGTGCCCTATTTTTCATTGAGTCAGCATAAATTTCGAAAAATTGTATCTTTTAGTACAAAAGTCAAAAGTCAAAAGTTGGTCACCCTCAGCTTATAAATTTTCAGCTTATAAGCACTTTAAGTTTGACCAAGATTTTTACTATTTTATCCTTAAAATATACCTTTTTTGGAACAAAACTCTTACATCAATACTCACTGCCTCAAGTATTG